AAACCAACCAAATGGATGCACTTATTTTTAATTCCACTATTTTTAACTTAAATTAGAAAATCCCTTTCATAATTTCCCTACTTTGTTAGTTTTCCATATGAAAAAAACTCCAACTTTGGTTTCCATATGGCATCAAAACTGGAAAACAGATATGTACAACAACAATTGTAGGCCTACACAGGAAGGGTGAAGAAACAAGAGTGAGAAACCCTAGTAATGTGGAACCATCTGAATTAAACTGCTAAAGAAGGTGAACAACAGACAATGAAAACCTTGATCGTATATTCTTGGTTTTGGTTTACAATTTCCCACACCAATATGCATTTGATTATAAGGATGCTGAATATTTTAATCTTATCAAGTGAAACACTAAGTGTTTTCCTTTGCCGCATGCCTGTGACTGCTATGAAACTTTTTTATCAAATATTGATCTATACATGCCATAAGTAACTTGTAAATTTTATTCAAGATTTGATTTCTTTGTAATGTAGTTCATAAATACTTGTGTAAATTTCGCATTCATTCTTTTTTCTAGTCGGAGTACATAATCATGGGCCTAGAAGTATTTAGTTGTGAAGGTTTCAGTTACAAATCTAACCATAATACCTGTTACTTTCAAGATCTCTCAATATGAAAGAAACACAGAAAAATGCTTCACCCAAGATTGGCCTTGGAGGAATGGCAAGAAATTCTTATTCGAAATGTGAGAAAACGCTTTGATGGTACATGTTTATTCCAAAAAGCCTTCAGTGCACAATGAAGTCAGTCTAGTTTTGTTTCTTTGTTTATTAGCAAATGAGTTCTCAAACTCCTCTTGATTAACTTGAATCTCTGTTGCGGCTAAATAGACTGTTGAAAGTGAAATCCTCGCAATGTCTTCACAAATTGGACAACAGCCTTGGCTACATTTGATGCTGCAAGAGGGCCAAACAGACGAATAGTATTGTCTCCATCTTGTGCTCCAGCTAAATCTGACAGTCCTCGTATGACAATTACCTTGAAGCCATTCGATAAACATGTCTGCAATTCCAGAAAACATGAACATAACAAGTTATCTTGACTAGTAATTATGCGCCCCGAGTTTCTAAGCAGATATATTCTTCAGATTAGTTTTGGTGCGAGGCGTTTACCATGACTATGACTGCACTCTCCATATCAAGTGATGAAACATGAAAAGTTGTATAGAGGAACTCCCTGTAAGCTGCATTGTCCACAAAAATGTTGGCAGTTGCGCCATTCAGTCCAACAACTACCTTGGGCTTTTCAGGAAGGCACAAGCTCGAGTTCACGCACTGTTCCAGCGCCATCCCCTGTATTAGTGAAAATGCATCCATTAGATTCAAGGGCTAGTTGAAGACAACTTAAGAGGAAAAAAAATGTTTTAGGCAGCAGCAATTAGCTGGCTGCAAAGCGAATGAGGATGTTACGTATTAGCGATAAGCAACCCACCTCCAGACTAGAAGATACTTCTAGCCAATTCTGACTTGTCTGAAACCAAAGTGTTCTTTCAGGAGCATTAGGCTTTCCTGACTTAAGAGTAGAAGAACTCCGTCCAATACCCAATGCTCCCCAACTCATTGTCTCCTCCATTGGGAACATCACAGCTTCCAAAGTCCAGTTCAGCAACATCATTTGTCGGTATTGTTGCCTTGAATTTCTGCAAAATGAAGAGATTGTACGCAAATAAACTCGTAGTCTGCATATACTGAGGCAGGAAATGAGCCAAATGATTATTACCACCCAGTCCCATAACCCTGTTTGAGCAAACTGCTTAGGGATGATGACATCTCCCATGGACATGGAACAGTTAACATTGCCTGCAATGCCAAAGTTTACAATTCCAATCATGCGAAAGACATCCAACATCTGTTGTGTTGCAGCTGCAGCATTCACCTGGGCGTACTACAATTAGACATTTCTTGAGGTAGTACTACTTAACAGAAAAAAAACAATGGCCGAAATAGAAAAATTCTTTATTGCCAGCAAATCCTTCAGTGATTAACAGAAAAAATCCTTCAGTGATTATCAACATGAATAGCTGAGCAAATGAAAATGATTTTGCCAGCACTGAAGCTCTTAAGCAAGCAGTATCTTTGCTTACGCGTTAAATACTTCTGTCCAACCTTACCGATCAACTCAACTTTATGATTTGTGAACTAGATTGGCCAGTGAACTAAAACACCATAGTTGCTGATCACAAATCATAACAACTACAAGCAACTATCTGTAATAACCAGACCAGAAGAATGTGAAATGAACCTACCATTCCCACTCCACATCTTACATAAATGACTTTTGATCCTTCTATGCTCCCTACGCGAAACCGCCTCCCTGTAAGAAACCAACCACCATTTTCAATCATCATAAACGATACACTTGCTCTCTTAGTACCATATTGAAGCGTATGTATTGGGGATTGATCATGTACCTGACAAATTCACAAAAGGGTGCTTCGGGTTATGCTTGAAGGCACCAGTAGCGAAAAAAGCATCTTCTTCTGGGCTATAAACCGTAATAAGACCAAGATAAGGTCGCATTTTTTTTAAGAGTGTTAGTGCTGTCCTTCACAGTCAGCAAATAATCTTCATTTGTCAAAGTTGAGAAGCGTTCTTAGGCACGTTTGTCAGTAGTTTCACAGTTCAAGACTTTAATGTAATTCGGGTCCAATATGGCATCGGCCAAAATTTAGACATTGTAATTGAAACATTTAAAAACCCTTTTCAAGCTCTAGGAAGTACGAAGCACGTACAAATCTGCCATCATTTTTTTGGTAAAATGGTACGTCAATAGTTGAATTTTGCCTTGCTTTTGTGTACCATTATTATTCTAATAGAGTAAATCTTATATACAATAATGGTATATATATTATCACTGTTGAATATATGACATATATGCAAAATTTGAGTTTCAAATTCAAATTCGGATTACGTGTCATGCATCTAATTATAAAAGTGCGTACACTGCCAGTGTATAGAAGATTAATATTTATTAATAACTTAAAATTATTCCTTGGACCAACTCATGTTAATAGCAAATCTAATTGTTTAGGCACTGGTTTAGCTCAATTTCCTGTTTGAACAAAACTACCACACTTAGAATCAAAAAGAATTTACTACATTGAAATGTGCGAAAGGGGTTGTCTCATTTTCGCTTGAAATAGAATTTGGCAACTTAAAATGAGGGTAAAGAGAATGTTAATTCTAGATGTGAATCTGTGCCTTATTACCTCTAGCATGGAAGCGATTTGCAGCAAATTCTTGGACGCCTCGAACCAAAGTTTTCTTTCAGGAGTATCAGGCTTTCCTGTCTCGGAAAAGAAGTACTCACTCCAATAAGCCACGAGACCCAACTGATTATATCCGCCAGCGGGAATGTGATAGCTTGCGAACTCTAGCTCAGCAGCATCAGTATCTGGATGTGTTGCTACCTTGGGTTTCTGTAGTATGCATGCATGCCCAGATGAAGATACATACAAAAATGTAATTCCTTGAATATTGAAAAAAAAAAAAAGAAACACGTTCAATACTTTTGAAGCAAGGAAAGGACTAAAATTTTTTCCACTTCACAATAAAATAAATAAATAAAGAAAATGAGGAATTCAGTTGCACCATCAGGTATTTAGGCTTTCATTAATTGGAGCCGCTGTCTACAGTCTACTGCATATGGAGGGAGGAGAAAACCATCATCCAGATCCAAAAGACAACTGATTCTTAAGCCTTGCTTGCAAATTTCAGTAATTAGCACATTTTTCACATTTTTTCTCACATTTTTTTCGTAAGTGAGAGGTCATGAATCTAGGTGCTTCTACTTGTCATTCCTCCCATCTTACAATACAATCCAACCCTTCCCTCTCTAGCATTTTGATTCCTGAGGATGGTTATTCCAGCTCGGGTATCCCGAGGTCTCGCCCAGTAATATCTCTTGAAGCGCCACCTCGGCGGTTATCAGTTGGGGTGACATCCACCTCATTACCGTCTCGACTAACATCCGTAGCCGAGGTGACACCAGGGCATCCGACAATTGTAGAGAGGTGAGATGTGACCTCTGACACCCCTGACACCTCCGACGCTTGACGGAAAGCTGCTCTGACACGCCGTCTGAACCTGACGGATGTCCCATCACGTCCTTTCATAGAGATCAGTCAAGTCCATCAGATGCAATGACCATATCAGATCTTTAGGGACCCGTGCTGGCAGTCCCTCTCTCCTATCCGTCTTCTATAAATACTCAACACCTTTACTGAGAAGGGGCATGACCAATTTTCTGGTAACACACTACTCCCTTCTATTACACTATCTCTTCATAACCGAACTAACTTGAGTTTCGGAGTTATAACAGGGGATCCAGCCCCTCTTTCAACCTAAGCAGGTGACCTCGTCCAAGAGAACTGCCCAGGATAAAAATACTTCTCTAGTGCGGGTGACTCACTCCAACGGGACGAAAATCACCTCTTCAATTGGCGCCGTCTGTGGGAACCCGAAGACATCAGAATATGAAGCCTGCGCGTTCAAGGAGCCGAAAAGCTCTCACTATTGGGGCTGAGCAAAGCAACGCAGCCCACCAGGAAGACATCTCTGAAGGGCAGGAGTCCCCAAGGACTCAACCCGCCAACGAAGAAGCCATAACCCGTATGGCCGAGTTTGTAAACGAAAACCCCAACATCTTTGAGGAGTTGGGTAGGTACCTTAAGAGGCAAGACAAACAGAAGGCTGAATCCTCTAAAAGGAAGTCGGATGGATCTCCTGAAAACTCATCTGAAGAGGAGTCGGATGGGAGGCGCCTAAGCCGAAGTGCCTCAAAACGGGCATTCTCCAAGACCACCTCTAAGGTAGCCTCATTGACAAAGGCCTTTTCCCGAGGACTCTTGGGACGGCGACCTGAGGAAGAACCTCGGCCCCTGGGAATACCCGGGGTGAATTACATGAGGGCTTCACCCTTCACTGATGACATCAATTAGGAAAGGCTTCTTCCAAATTTCAAGCTCCCCGCGATACCGTCTTATGACGGCCGAGGTGATCCTGAGAATCACATTCACGCCTTCATCTCGGCCTTCCGCTTATACTGCATCCCTGACCCTGTCATCTGCCGGGCTTTCCCAGTGTTCCTCCAGGGGACTGCTCGAAAATGGTTCTGAAGATTAGAACCTAGGAGCATTTCAACCCTGGGAGAATTGGTGGAGAGATTTCTCCATCGGTTCATCTCCTCCCGACCTACGACCCGGACCTCAACTTACTTGCTGAACCTGCAGCAGAATTCGGGAGAGTCACTTCGGTCGTATGTCCAGAGGTTTCATGATGAGAGTGTACAGATACCTGACCCCAATGAGCAGGTTACCATCGCTGCCTTTACCCATGGGCTCGTCTCCGGAGTGTTCAACACGAAAATTCACAAAAAATATCCCCGCACTCTCCACGAGCTGTGGTTAAAGGTCGAGAAGGGCATACAAGCTGAAGACCTCAACCGCATGAAGAAGGAGATCCAAGCCACCCGCCCAAAGGCTGACCCTCGAAGGGGGAAAGATGTTGGCCGAAGTGAAGCCGGGACAGGGAGTACTTTCCAAAGTCCTGGCCGAAATCGCCGCAGCATGTTCGACAGGATTTCCAAGGGGAAAACATTCATCCCTGAGTCCGAACTGACTCCCTTGAACACCACTCGATCTCGGGTGTTGTCCGTAATAGAACAGAACAATCTCGGGAAAGCACCTCCCAAGATGTACGGCAGCAGGGATAAGAGGAACTCGAACCTCTACTGCCTATACCATCGAGATATAGGGCATGAAACCGAGGACTGCAACGATCTCAAGAGGGAGATCGAGAACCTCATCCGACAAGGACACTTGAAGCAGTTCATCCGCCGAGGTGGAGGTCATCAGTGTGACGAAAACCGACGTGATAGACGAGGTGACCAACGCCGAGACGAGAGGCGGACGTCAAGAAGCAGCTGCTGGCCTCCTGAGGATCCTAGGGAGACAAAAAGGCCTCCCCGAGATGGATCTTCAGGCCAGGGGCTAGGGTATGGGCCAAACATTGCCGGAATCATTAACACTATTGCCGGAGGTCCGACGGGAAGAGATAGCCAGAACTCCCGGAAGAGAACCTACAGGCAAGCTAACCCGGATCAGGTAGAGTCGAGTTCTCGCCTATCCGAAGTCATTTCCTATGGCCCTACCGATCCTGTCCCAGCCGCCTCGAGTAGCCACGAGGCACTAATAATCGAGGTGCTCGCTAACAATTACATCGTTAAGAAAGTTTACATTAACCCCGAGAGTTCGGTAGATGTCATGTATCTCCGCACTTTTGAGAGTCTTAAGTTGGCTAGGGAGCACATGACTCCGGTGCGGACTCCCCTTGTAGGGTTTGGGGGACACATCGTCCACCCCGAGGGAATTGTGACCCTGACGGTGACCGTGGGGCACCACCCCCGCTGCCGAACTATCCCTGTGAACTTTGTGGTGGTTAAGGCCGACTCCCCATACAACTTGCTCTTAGGTCGACCCACTCTTAATGCTCTGCGGGCGGTGTACTACACCTACCACTTGAGTTTCAAATTTCCTACCATCGCGAGAATCGCCGAGGTCAGTAGCGACGTCTGCGCTGCTCGGGAGTGTTACCTCGCCACCTTACAAGCAGCCTCCACATCGACCGCCGATGTGAGACCCGAGAAGAGGTCAAGTATTCTCTCGATAGATTGTATTGATTCTCAGCAACCCGAGAAGATCCCAAGGCTGGAAACTGGGGATGAGGTGGAAGAGATTCCCCTGGACCCCACGAAACCTGATCGGATGGTCCGCGTCGGCACTTAACTGCCGGGCCCGATTAAAAGAGGTATGGTGGATCTCCTCAGAGAGTATCGGGACGTCTTCGCTCGGGTCGCAGATGAGGTTCAAGGAGTTCCGCACCACCTCATGATACATGAGCTGAATGTCGACCCCAAAGTCCGCCCGGTTAAACAGAAAAGAAGGCACCTCGGTCCTGAGCGCAGCCGAGCTGTGCATGGCGAAGTGGACAAACTCCTGCCCGCGAAGATAATCCGAGAGGTCCAATATCCAACATGGTTATCTAACCCAGTCATGGTCAAGAAGGACATCGAAACTTGGAGAATGTGCGTCGACTTCACCGATCTCAACAAAGCTTGTCCCAAGGACTGCTACCCATTGCCCAAGGTCGACATCTTGGTGGAATCGGCGATGGGTTATGAGGTCCTTTGCTTTTTTGATGCCTTCAAGGGGTATCACCAGATCGGAATGAGTCCAGAAAATCAGGAGAAAATTGCCTTCTACACTAACTAGGCATATATTGTTACACCACCATGCCTTTCGGACTGAAGAACGCCGGGGTTACGTATCAACGCTTGGTTAACCAAGCTTTTAAATCTCAGATCGGCAGGATTGTCGAAACCTACGTAGATGATATCCTTCTCAAGAGCCACACGACCTCCACATTCCTTTCCGACCTAAAAGAAGTCCTGAAAGTCCTTCGGGAGACGCGAATGATGCTAAACCCCAAGAAATGTGTTTTCGGGGTCACTACGGGGAAGTTCTTGGGCTATCTCGTCTCCAGACGGGGTATTGAAACAAATCCGGACAAGGTAAGGGCAATCCAAGAAATGTCTCCACCTCGATGTGTCCGCGACATCCAGAGGCTGACAGGGCGGTTGGTCGCCTTGAACCGGTTCTTATCGCAATCAGCCTCCAAGGCACTGCCATTTTTCAAAGTTCTCAAGAAGGCCGACAACTTTTCCTGGACTAAAGAGTGTCAACAGACGTTTGAGCATCTAAAGGAATACCTCAACCACCTCCCAACACTCACCTCACCTCGCTCGGGGGATAAGTTATTCTTGTACCTATCTGCTGCAGCCGAAACTGTAAGTGTCGTGCTGATAAGGGAGGAAGGTGTACAAATGCCTGTTTATTATGACAGCCAAGTCCTCCGAGGTCCGGAGACCAGATACACTCAGGCGAAAAAGCTTGTGCTGGCCTTAATCCATGCAGCTCGTAGGCTGAAACCATACTTCTTAGCCCACCACGTTAGCTTGAGGACTGACCAACCAATTCGGCAAGTCTTATCACGGCCAGAGGCTTCTGGACGCCTTACTAAGTGGGCCATTGAGTTGGGGGAGTACGACTTATCTTACGAGCCTTGTACGACAATCAAAGCTCAGGCCCTCGCGGACTTCCTAGCCGAGCTCACTTTTGATGAGATGAATAAAGCCACCCCGGCCACTACCCAGGTTACTACCCCGTCTACCGTCGAGCCTCAACGCTGGACTTTGCATGTGGACGGTTCGTAGTGGGGCAGGCTTACTTCTCGAAAACCCCCAAGGAGAGGTGTGCTCGTACGCCCTGAGATTTGACTTCGCTGCCTCCAACAATGAAGTCGAATACGAGGCTGTCATTGCCGGCCTACAACTAACTCGAAAACTCGGGGGCCGCACACATCTTGATCTATAGTGACTCCCAACTCGTCGTGTGTCAAATACTAGGTGAATACGAGGCCAGGGAAGAGGTGATGCATCGTTACCTCTCCAAGGTCCTCCAGCTGGCGACACACTTCGAGTCTTTTGAAATCCAAAGAATACCGCGGTCACAAAACAGAAGGGCTGACGCCCTCTCCCGGCTTGCTTCTACCTCTTTCTCCGACCTGAACAAGACGGTTCTCGTAAAAGTTCTAACCGAGTTAGGATATATAGCTGAGGTCGTGTACCCCGTCTACCCTGGGGATACCTGGATGGGGCCCCTGACTCGATTTCTCAGCCAAGGTGAGCTCCCGGAAGACCGAGATGAATCACAGAAGTTTCAACGAAAAGCAGCTCGGTACACCCTCCGACAAGGCCTTTTGTAAAAGAGGTCTTATCTCGACCCCTGGTTGCGATGTATCACGCCGGAGGAAGGTGAGAGAATCCTCCAAGACATACATGAAAGACTTTGTGGTGCTCACGTCGGCTACAGGATGCTTGTTAAGAAAGCTTTATTGCTTGGGTACTTCTGGCCGACCATGAGGGTAGATGCCCAGGTCATGGTTCTTAGTTGCCCCTCCTGTCAGCACCACGCCCCTGAACACCACCAGCTGACCAACCTTATGATACCCATCACCTCGCCGTGGCCATTCGAGCAATGGAAAACTGATATAATCGGCACATTCCCCAGGGCTCCAGGCAACTATGCCTACGTGGTGGTAGCAGTGGACTATTTCACCAAATGGGTTGAGACCGAGCCCCTGAGAAGCATCACCGGGGCTGCTGTTCAAAAATTCTTTTGGAAGAACGTGGTTTGTCGCTTCGGCCTGCCCCGAGTGGTCATTTCGAATAATAGCAGGCAGTTCGCGGATAATCCTTTCAAGGCGTGGTGTGAAACTTTGGGGATTCAACAACATTTCACTTCGGTTGGACACCCTCAGGCAAATGGACAAGCCGAAAACTTCAATCGAACTCTCCTCCATGGACTCAAGACCAGGCTACACCGGGCTGGATAGTCATGGATGGAAGAGCTCCCCAGCGTGCTGTGGTCCTACCGAACCACGCCGAGGTCAGCAACCCAAGAAACCCCGTTTTCCCTAACTTATGGGTTCGAGGCTGTCGTCCCAGCCGAATTCATTACCTCGAGTCCACGAATGGTCGCATATGCTGCCGAAGTCAATGAAGAAGAACGGCGAGTTGACCTCGACCTCGCCGAGGAGAAGCGTGATATGGCCATGGCCAAAGTCGCTATTTACAAAAATATCCTAACTGGTTACTACAATGCTCGGGTCAAGCACTTGCGGTTCAATCCGGGAGACCTTGTTCTCCGGAAGAACTCAGTTAGCCGAACTGAACCTCAGGAAAAGTTAAATCCCAAGTGGGAGGGACCGTACTGTGTTGTTGAATCCAGTCAAAATGGATATTGTAAATTGGCTTACCGAAATGACTCTCGGGTGCCCTGAACCTGGCATGCTGAAAATCTTAAATTATATTACCCTTGAAGGGTACGTATTCTTACATTCCACTTCTTCAAGTTATTTCTCACTTCTTTCCATATTATTGTAAGTGAAAAATAAGGGGACAAAGCAGTATTCAAAAAAAGATGAATTCAATTCGATCAAAAAGAAGGCAAAAATATGCAAGAACAAAAAGTCAATTTTATTGAAGTGCGAAAAGTAAAAGGCCGAGGTTATATATGACCTCGGCCCCCAGTTACAAGAGTGAAAGGCCAAGATTATCTGTGACCTCAGATAACCTCGGCCCTCTATTACAAAAACAAGTGCTTCTAGGCACTCCCTACTTCAGTTTCCTGACCTCCCATGGTCTCACCCTCCGTCTTGGCATCCTGATGCCCTTCAACTCCTCCACCGGCCTGGTCTCCTTCAAGCTCATCACCATCACCATTTGGCTCAAATTCCTGGAGCCATTTGTTGAATTCGGCTCGCACCTCAGCTAGGTCCTTTCCAGACTGGATACCCTCGGCAATGCGGTCGCACAGTTCCTTGGCATTTTCGTTGTAGTGAGAAGCGTTCTGAAGGGACTCCAGTTGCTCAGGAGAGAGAAAGGGCGTTGCCTCGTTAACAGCGGATGTGAAGCCGAACATGAAACTCGGTCGAGTGAGCTCGCCGAGTTCATGAGTGAAGGCTTCCGACTTCCGGAATGCCTCCACGGCAGTGACCCCGACCTTGTCTATGGCCTCCTTGGCCGATTGTTCTTCTTGAGCCCGTCTCCCTCTTTCCTCGTCAAGTGCAGTTACGAGGGAGTTGTTTGCGACTTCGGCCTTCTTCTTCGCAAGCTCGGCCTTGTCTCGCTCCAACTCGGCTGCTCTCAGCTGCTTTTCCAGATCGGCAATCCTCTTGTGGAGCTCGTCAGGTGATTCATACGTCTGTACGAAGTGCCCGAAGCGTTGGTGCATCTCAGCCAAGAACGCCGTGGTGGAAGCCCAGGAAACTGAGGCGCTTTGCATCAGCTCGACGGGAGAGAGCTTCCTGGTGTAGGTATTGTCCCGTGGCAGGACCGAATGCACTAGGAGCTCGTGTGCGACTCGGGCATCTTTGTATCGGTCGTTCACGTTTATATCCCACTCCGGACACCACTGTGACCCGGAGTGCCTCTTGTCCTCCTCGGCCGCCACTGAAGGCACGTGGTGGAGGTTGAACAATGAGGACCCCGTGACGGGGTTTTTCGGAGTAATGGCTGCCGCTCGACCCCGAGGTGGAGAGGCTATCGTCACTCCACGGGAGGGGATTCCCACAGGAATGCCAGAGGATTTGGATTTCCCCTTCCCCGGCATGCCCGAGGTATGTGAACCTTCGCCTATGATCACCACGGCGGGCTCGCGGTCGCCCGTCGCCGTGGTGGTCTTTTTAGCCGGCCTGGTAGAGGGATCAGCAGCATCCTTGCACTTCTTGGGTGCCCTCTTCACCACTTCGGCCCCTCCCGAAGTGATCAGGTCAGAAACTTTCACCACTGCAGGGAATGAAAGAGAGTCGATTAGAATTTAAGAAAAATAAATAAGTAGAGAAAATGGAAAGGTACAAGGTTTCTGGAGCCTAGAAGAGAAAAGACGGGGTGATCCGAGCTGATCAAGGCTCAGCTGATCCCGCCGTCCACAAGCACTGCTTCTGGAAAGTCCCAACAGTTAATTCTGAGGCTCGACCCCATTAGCTTCTGGAGGTTGCGCTCCTCTAACTTGCCCGGGGACATTTCTTTGACCGAAGTGGGAGGTCTCCACCAAAACCCCTGGGGGAAGTCCTCAGCCGGAACGAAGATGAAGTTCCTTTTCCACTCCTTTATCGAGCTCGGGACGTCCACTACTAATTTCGGGACTTTATTCCCGAAGTAGAACCAACCCTTCTCACTCCCGCTGTTCTTAAGTGAATAACAGCGGCGGAATAGGTTAACCGTAGGCTCTATCTCCTGATGACGGCAGAGCAGTTGGAAGCCGACGAGAACGCGAATGGCATTGGGGGTGAGCTGAGTGATTCTCACCCCCCAGTACCTCAAACAGCCGCGAAGGAATTTCGTCGTTGGCATCCTGAGCCCGGCCTCCAGTTGCTCCACATAGATAGCCACCCTATCTTTCGGCGACAGTGCGGCTGACTGGTGCGGTTGGGGTATGTAGATACTATAATCCCTTCCCCAGGGATACTTGCGGACCACCTCGACTACTGAGACTTGTCCCATACCACTACTGAAGAACGGCATCTGGCCGTAGTTAAGAGTTGTCACGTTCGGAGGAGTGGAAGGCTCTTGTACGCCCTCGTCCCTAGGGACCTCGTTCCCGAGGTCATCATTGTATAGAATTTCGGGATCGACCTCGATCTCCTCGTACTGCTCCTTAGCCGCCCCAACTCGGTGAGACGCCTCAGCTCGGTGGGACGCCTCCGCACCTCCTTCCCCAGCTCGGTGAGACGCCTCAGCACCTCCGCCATCGGACGCGGTCCTTTCTTCGGAGAGGTCAGGCCTCTCTGCTTCGGTAAAGTCAGGCCTCACCGTCTCCTTGTGTGTACGAGCTGTTCTAGCCATTATAACAGAAAAGAAAGAAGTGAACTTATTTAGAAGATGTGATTCGAAGGAAGTGCCGAAGTGAAAAGACAAAGAAGCGGAGCTTTGGGGTGATTCACGATTTTTGGTAAAGATTAAAACGGTGAAAAGGGGCCCCTATTTATAGGCACCCAGGGAGAAAGTGAAGAGACGCGTTCTCTCTCTCCTCATTAATGAAAAAACTGTTCATCTGCCGCCAATCTCGCGCCTGATCATGAACCTGCCATTCAGACTGATATCCGTCCTGTCAGTTCCTCAGCAGTCCCATCCACGCGGTCATGATTATTGGACACCGTGTCTTACACGCTTATCAGCTTTGAAAAGTAACGACCTCGGGAGTCCACGATCTCGTCTTCCTCGAAGCTTGGGGGGCTTAGTGAGGATGGTTATTCCGGTTCGGGTATCCCAAGGTCTCGCCCAGTAATATCTCTTGAAGCGCCACCTCGGCGGTTATCAGTTGGGGTGACATCCACCTCATTACCGTCTCGGCTAACATCCTTAGCCGAGGTGACACCAGGGCATCCGACAATTGTGGAGAGGTGAGATGTGACCTCTGACACCCCTGACACCTCCGACGCCTGACGAAAAGCTGCTCTGACACGCCGTCTGAACCTGACGGATGTTCCATCACGTCCTTTCATAGAGATCAGTCAAGTCCATCAGATGCAATGACCATATCAGATCTTTAGGGACCCGTGCTGGCAGTCCCTCTCTCCTATCCGTCTTCTATAAATACTCAACACCTTTACTGAGAAGGGGGATGACCAATTTTCTGGTAACACACTACTCCCTTCCATTACGCTATCTCTTCATAACCGAACTAACTTGAGTTTCGGAGTTATAACGGGGGATCCAGCCCCTCTTTCAACCTAAGCAGGTGACCTCGTCCAAGAGAGCTGCCCAGGATAAAAATACTTCTCCAATGCGGGTGACTCACTCCAGCGGGACGAAAATCACCTCTTCAATTCCATTGTTCTTTAATTTGTCGAGTGTAGTCATTCGAATTCTTAGTGATCGATAATGACTGAATTGTTGGCAGTTGGCACTGATTGTGTGCGCTTGATTTTGAGAATCATTCTCGATGCAAACGCTTGGATGCTTATGCTTTATGAAACTTTAGGTTTTACCTTTAAGGGGAAAAAAAAAAAAGAAACAAAGGAATTAATATTACCAGCCAGTCCCATGTTCCAGTTTCAGAAAACTGCATGGGGATTACAACATCTCCCACGGACAGGGTACTGTCGGCATTGCCCGAAGTGCCAAAGTTTATAACTCCTCTAATTCGGAAGACGTCCAACAGTTATTGGGTCGTTGCTGATTAATCCAATCCAAGCAAAACGCCTTCATTAATCACCAATTCTCACTCACAAATATTGCAACCTTTTTTACCTGTACAAAAGCTAACGAAGGGTGGCAAAACTAGAAACTCAATTACAATTACCAGTCCAACTCCACATCTGACATAAATGGCACTATTAGACCCTATGGTCCCGATCGATGTGATAACGCCTGCCTGCAATGAAATAAATTATTAGGTGATAAAAAGTCAGCAACAAATTTCGATCATTATTATGAGGAAGAAAAAATAGCAGTTGTAATAGTTGCGAAGCAGATTTAATGCATGGGAAATATATATATATATATATATATATATATTTGCCTGAGAAATCCACATAGGGGTGTTTTGAATCCACAAGTTACAAGTCATAATGTGGATAACATTTCATGTTCTTTGCAACCAGCCATACTGTAAGCTCAGACATGCTTCCTTAAACATGGATCGAATTGTGTTGTTAAAAGTTTAAGCATTAGAAAAAAATAGTGATAAACATCAGATGCAGAAAGAATGAAAAATAGTGATATCCCCATCAGATGCAGTTTCTGTATTGGTAACTATAATATATTTAGATGATGCAACTTTATTGCTAAACAACAATGTGCTGAACAAAATTGTTTCCTAAGATGCTCTATGCAATGAAATAGCCTTAAAACGCCAGCCATGAATTCCTCAATGGATTTTCTGTCTCACATTCTATGCCACTCTCAGTCCCACTTTTTATTATATTGCTATTTCTCCTTCATAAATATCATGTTTTAATTCTTTTTTGTTTCTTTAAGATCCAATAACTATTAATTGAGTAATACACAAAATTTAATAAACTCAAAAAATCAAAATGCATAAAAACGAGATTTTTATGAATTTTCTGCTGTAGTTTTTAATTTTCTATTATATATTACTTTTTTGAAACTGTTGTATTTATTTTTTACTCAATCAATAGTTACTGAATCTTAAAAAAACAAAAAAGAATTAAAACATGATATTTATGAAGGAGAAATAGCAATATAATAAAAAAGTAAAACTGAAAGTGGCACAAGATATAGAATAGAAGATCCGTTGCGAATGAATTCAACTCAA